ATAATAATTATGAAAATTAAAAAAAATATATTTCAACAACTCACCCACTCTCTGTAACACATACAGAGCAATGAAACCACTGCTCCAAATGTAAGCATTGGGGTCTTCCCATCTAAGGGTCTAAAATAATACCAAAAAAGATTAACCAAGACATTCAATGCTATTATTCAATATAAAAAAAACTGGTTCTTACAAGATGCACAAATAATATGTATCTGTTCTACATGCTGTATGATATGATTGTTACAGCAACAATTTACAATATTAGAATAAGCAACATTCTAATATTTACAAAGCCATGCACTAAATGAAATTCAAATTAATGAAGCAAAAAAAAAATTAATAAATAATAAAAAACTCACCATTCCCCATATATGAAGTGCTAGACATAACACAAAGTATATGAAAGTGACAATAATGGTGTTCTTGAATTTATTCACCAAGAGACCCACCAGGCCAGCTTGGAAGATGTAAGTGTTGAAGAACAACAGGAAAACAACTATAACAGCAAACACTATGCAGACATCTTGGATTCTGAAAGAAAAAAGGAATAGAATCAATGTGTAACCATGTAATCCTACATACTAAATGCTACTATCATAAATTGCAAAGAAAAAATATTTTATCACCAACTGGCCCAGAAACCACTGTACTTTATTTGCTTATGATATACTAGTAGTCTAGTACTAACTTGCTACCTTATTGCATCCCGTTTTGTTACATTGTAAAAAAACATTATTCTGATCTGGATTTTCATGATTAAACAAACAACCACCCAAATAAACAAAATGAATAATACATTGTTATATCAGTCATGTCTGAAACTGGTATTTTTTAGATTTTTTTTACACCCCAACAGCAAATCCTTTAAAAAAGAAAAAACAAAGGTGTAAAATTGTAATTTTGCTGTATTACACATATAAGAACATGCCCCCGAGGGTTTCAGTTTGTGTCTTCTTTCCTCCTCAAGGGTTAGAGGTGGGAGCCAAATTATCAATTTTGTTTTGAAAGGGGTTGGGGATATTCCTTCAATATAGTAATGATAGATTACAAGACTGGAATCAAAAATGGGCTTAAAAATATAAACACTTACACATATATAACCAGCAAAATTACATTCTCAAATCTAAGTAAATCCGAAAAAGAGTTGAGAAATAAATCCACAAACAACAGAAAATACTGGAGGTACAGGATTGGACGGTAACGGCTGACTTGCATCTTCTGTCAAATTAAGGACACATTATCTCGAGTAATTCTGGGAGTCTTCTATGTCCTCTTCTTCTCATCACACGTGTGAAGAATTGGAAGTAATGAGGATGGCATACCTACGTTTAAAAATGAATAAACATCTTAATGGGATTTTAATTTTTTCTTTCTCTAAATTAAACCATACATATGCGTTGCGTATATCTGTATAGATTTAGATCTATTAGTTTAGTCTTCAATTGTGCATTTATGACGATTTTATCAAATTCGATTTCGATCGAATTTTTCGCACTGTGGCAGATTGGTGTGGTATCTAAAATCGTTACATATGCATATGTGATTTTAGTTTTGTTGACCGTGCAACACTAACAGTAATCTAGGTCCTGTCAAAAGTAAATGTATATTTATCCTCCATTCACTGTAAGCAGAGCATTTCACATAAATAAATATATTTTACAAAAGACAGATACCAAAGAAATTACAATAATTCTATCGACTCCTATCTAATGCCTACCAATACATTTTTCTCTCGTATTGTTTGTAAATAAGCGGGCAGGGCGGAAGTAGTACAACCCCTCTCGTGTTATCTCCTGGAATCACGCACTGGGGACATAAAATTTATGACCTTCTTAGTCCTTCAGACTTTATTGTGCCGTTTAAAATGAGACAGATAGAGTAATGGTTGTCATACTTAATCAAAATTGAGAATTTTGTCTTTCTAATTAATGAATAAATAAAGTTGAAAGGTCTAAACATGTAAATCACATGATCAATTAACGAGATTCAAAATGGAGTAGCCGGCGGGAAGTAGAACTGTAATTCTATATTTTGGTAATGGAATGTCTGTTTGTAGTTTAGTGTATGTGTGTTTGCGCAAAAAATATCTAGAATTACTGAAACTGAAAACATAAATTTTGTATAAAACCTCAACCAGCTGTAAGTGAGTGAAGTTTTGCTGATGTGCAACCTGATGTACATGTAGACATGGAGATTGACATTTAAACAATTGTGAACAAATTATTTCCAAAAAACTTTAATTGTTAGGTTTAAGTTATTCGGTGTTAAAAAGCATTTTGCCGACCCTAACTTTTATACAACCGATATGTACATGTATTTGAATAAATGTAGAGTTAAGCATCTTCACTTCAATCTTCAAATTAAAATATCCCATCCAGTAAAGTATCTTGGCTATCTGAATTTGTATTTTTTAGTAGACTGAACAGGTTTGGCAGAGAAAATGAGTTGATCCATCAGCTTGGTATCATTCATATAGACAAACATATATATGTCACGCTCCCGGATATTCCATAAGTCTCCCAGATACAGAACAAATCTCCCAATCTCCTGTATGGGTAACAAAATATCCCGAATAAAAGCAATTTTGAAAGTTTGTACCACTGTCAGCTAACGTCCTGTCTTAATAACCAAATCAAAACATCAGAATAGTTGGATGATCATTTGAAAACTTAATAATTCTTTGCTAATTGTTTGGGGGGGGGGGGGGGAAGAGAGAATGGTTGCTCTCCCATTGCCCCACTCCCCCTCCACCACCACAACCACCTCCACTGAGCACAATGGCAGTGACCACTCCCCCACCTCCCTACTGAGCAAAATTTTAGAATCTCCAGATTTTAGATTTCCAGAGGTTGGTATCTCATTATAGATCTAATAACACTTTCAATTTTAGGTAAAGTGAGGAACACAAACAACATTGAACAATGAGTGAGTTTAAGGTTCACCACAGTGTCAGTGAGCTAATGTCACTTCTTGGGTAAGGAGGAATTCTAATTGTCTTATTTCTGAAGTAATTGATAAATTGAAGTTTTGCATAAGGCATTGTGCCTCGAGTTCCTACATTTTTTCAATGCAGTTTTGGAGACGGGTTGGTTTCCAGCTCTCGCCTTTGCCTGGAAACAGGATATTCATTACGTTTCTTACACATTACACATATCCAAGTGTAGCTATTAATTGATATCTTTATCTTGATACTAGGTAGAGCTTTTGGGTATTTCATCAGTTAACAGATACAAACCAAACTTTTTTACTTTCAGAGTGAAATCTGGGGAAGTTGGTGCTGAGGTATACACAGATATGCTCCTGAAGAATATGACTCCATATGTGACAACACAGGTACAATATTCCCCATGTTGCTACTTTATCTGTATATGGGAAAATACCTTTTCTATACTTTGGTCATAGTTAGTGAATTACCAATATAAATTTAAAAAAAGAAGAATCTTATGGAAAAGGAATTATCCTATGTTATGATGTTGATAACTAAAGTATTAGATCCACATATAAATCACATAGTAAAAACTCTGACTTGAATGATGCTGTTCACGTTCACTCTGATCTTATATTCTACAGGTTTCTGCTCATAATGCTAAGAGGAAAATTGCAGAGCACACCCAGAGTCCAGAAGAATTCCTGCAGAAATATGATGAACTTAAAGCCAAAAAGTATAAGGAACAGAATTGTTTTTTAGCAGTGATTTAAAGATGCATATAAAGTCAATTTGACCACCTCAGAAAGATTTATTTGTATTTGTCATGTTCCAAAATTCCATATGTGTAGTGTCTTTGAATGTATTGTTAACTTTGTTTTGTTTAAATTTACATAGGTAAATGTGTATTAACAACCTTTTTTCTTCTTTCAGCATAAGAGACCTTGATTCCTTGGTGTTTTTACTGTCCAAATTATCTGATGATGAAAAGGTATGTGCAGATAGTGTGATTATATAGATATTTTGTCAGAATAAAATTTTACCTGTAAAAAATCAGAATAAAGCAATGTAAAGTGCATAAATTTCTTATCACACTTATACAAGTAAGCCTTTGGTGAATGTTTCATAGTGGCTGATAGTGCATGCTCATTGGCCAATGAAATTTTTTAGTAATAATATTGGATCTGCTTTATTACAGACAAAATCTTTTCTTGAGAAAAATGCACTGGACCGAGCTGCTGCCTCAGGAACAACCTTGTCCTCCCACAGTAATGTTCTGTCACAGCTTCCTGCTTCTGGCTCCAAAATAACACAAGAGGAGCTGTCCCAGGTAAGCTAAATCTAGAGATTTAAGAGGAGCTGTCCCAGGTAAGCTAAATCTAGAGATTTGATTGGGAACTGACAAAGCTATCAGTACATGGTGACAGCTGGTAAGTTTCAGACAGAGTCTTCCTTTGATTATTAGATATTATTATTATTATGAAGATCACAAGGCAGTGTAAATATGGAGACATATTTGGTATATCATTTGTTTCCTTTCATTTCTGAATATCTGGTGTTTTGAACTTTTCAGTTGCGAGATAAGTTGTTGAGAGAAGCCAGCAGTACAGCCAGTCATGTAGGTTCAGATGTTTTGAGGAAAGTGATGAGGGACAAGCATGCCACTAGAAATGGTAGGTACCAGCTTGCCTTGTAGATTAAAAAAAATTATTTATTTATATTTCTCTCTTTATTTTATTATTATTATTATTTTATTTTATTTTATTTTTTTATTTTATTTTATTTTTTTTTTTTTGCATTTCAGAAATAGTAGCTATCAGGTATTTTCAGACTTTGCTTTTAAATCCTTTGATGAAAAACTTCCAGTAGATTTGAAGTGAATATTTGTCAAACCATTTTGTTTTAATGTTTTTCCAGTCCAGTTGCCTCCTCAGCCAGACTGGCTTTTCCAGAGGCCACACTTAACCCTGGACTTTGTGGTGGGAAGTCAAGGGCAAGGAGATGGTGTATGTACTGTAGTTTATTTATTCATTTTTTTAATGTCATATAATTGAATAATCTTTTCTAATATATGTGCATATTTGCCTGTTATTCCAATGTGGATTTTGTAATCAGGACATAATTTTCAGCACAATGGCATGGGCTTTGTTTATAGATTGGAACAGATTTCTCTATTGCTTCCTTATTTTTAGACATTGACCTTGTTATGAGTTTGTATAACTTTTTTTCAGAATGTGGTCAGTTTAGGCACTCTCCCAGCAGCTCTACAAGAGCAAGCTGTCATAGAAGATTTGTTTTTCTGCATGGAGGTTAGTTAAACTTGCTGAAACTTTCTAGCTTGTTTTTATTACCTTTCTTCCCTAGGTTTTGGAAATGTTATTGTTTGGTGAAGAAAAATACTAAGTAAGGTTATGAATACTGTATACTCGTATTTGCAGGGCATTGAAGGCAAATATATCCATGCTCTTACGCTGAAAGATAGATATGGGCCAAGGGAGTTTACCATTGACCAGAGTTTAGGTGAGTATACATGGTGTAAAGGAGTCAAGACAAATCTAAAAATGCCCAATACTTTCATTCTAAGGCACAGTTTGTTATCTATACAGGGGCTCAAAATTGAATGTCTGTTTCATCACTTGTCTTGTCATTTACCAGATCCGTCCTTGAGAGAGTTGGTCCGGCGTATTCTGCCAACGTGTTCCAATTACTCCACAGTGATACGATTTGTAGAAGGTAAGGCTTGGCCTCTTTTAAAGCTGATGTAGATTGATTACAGACAAAAACTGTTATGTATATTAGACTTATGTAAGCTGGTGTGCTTGATCTCTACTGCTGGTCACTGTAGATCAACATGAATCCCAAAACTGAAGAAACAAAATTTATGTTTAAAAAAAATTTGACATAGGTGGAAACATCTTGTCTCATAAATAAGATGTCTGATATCTGAAGAAACAATTTGTCTTATAGGCCAGTCAATAAACAACTTAGGTTGGAAAAAATTGGTGACAAAGGTTTCTCAACTGATTCCGGTCCGTTGAAGGCCCAATATAACCCAAAAAATTTCCCCCATGAATCCCCCCATGGCAAAGTCTTTTTTTTGGCCAAAATCCAAAATGGCCGCCATTGAATGGGGTGGGTCACCTTAATGGGCTTATCTTCTTAACCCAGTGTGACAGAAACATGTTAAAAGTATCTATTCCTACTAAGTAAGATATCAGCAATTATTTGCTACTACTGTCAAGGTCATCAGAGGTCAAGGTCATGACCTACTTACAAGGTCATTGGATTTTCTTGCTCCAAAAACGCCTTTTTTGACCATATTTTGTTACCCAATGTTGCAAAAACATATTTTAATTATCAATCCCTACTAAACAAGGCAACATTTATCATTTGCAACTTTTTTGAGGTCATCACAGTTGAAAGTTTTGGCAAAATTGCAATTTTGAGAGAAAAATCCATCATTTAGGATAAATACTCTTAAGTGGGGTGGGTCACCTAGAAACCATATCTTGGGAATCCAATGTCACAGAAACATGTTTTAAGTTTCTACTAAGTTAGGCATTGCCAATCTATTGCGACTATTGCCAAGGGCACCTAAGGTCAAGGTCATGACCTAATTACAAGGTCAAGGCGTTTTTGGAGCGAAAAGGTCTTTACTTCGGTTACTCTGTACCACACAATCATGTTAATAAAGCAATTACTACTAAATTAGGCATTTTCAATCATTTCAAAATATTTAAAAGGTCATCAGAGGTCAAGCTTATAAGTCAATTGCAAGATCAAGGAATTTTTCAGGCGAATGATGTATAATCCCTAGTATCTTAGTGACCCATTACCTCAAAAACAAGGTTAAGGTATCAAACCCCACTAGACGAAACATGGCTAATCGTTTGCAACTATTGTTATGGTCACCAGGAGTCACGATATTTACCTTTCTACAAGGTAGACATGAAATGTTACGGGAAATCTGTTATATCATGATCAACATGCAACACAAGAATTTGTAAATGATATTTATTTCGGGAAAATTATCAACACAGTGACTGATATAGTAAAGGACATTCGTTAAAGACAATTATATAAAGGTTAGCTTCATACTACGCAAATACAACTTGCAATACATATTACTAATTATTGCTGTAGACAGTCATGCATTAAAGGTGTTTAAAATACCAAAATTCCTTCCTAGAGTGCCACACCACTGCCGGAAATGAATTACATACTGGGCACACATACCTTACTATGTTTCTATGCGTGGGATACAAGTTAGACATTTTCTTCATTACCATTGTCAACATCTTCACTTTCACCACCGTTGTCACACGTTATCCCTTTACACTGGCCACAGGCAGGGGTACAAACTAGACCATTTTTCCGGCAAGTGCAAGACCTACTGTTACAATTTCCAGCACAGTTACACCTTATCACCTTCAGCAGACTTTGGGGAGCAGCCGCTTGCTCCATTCTCAATGGAATGAGCCCTTGAGTCGACATCTTCCAACCCCATTCCTGAGGGATAAGATCTCTCCCACACCAAGCTTGCACCTGATGGTAAGTTCTCATGGAATGAAACTTAGCTGCATCAGAAGTAGGGGGCAATTTCTCTGGGGGGACGTAACCTGATGAGACAGCAACCTTCTGTAGAAACTTATGAACACGTGCAGAAGTTAGACTGCCATAATTTGGACATCCATATACAAACAGCATGGCTTGCTCCCCTGCTTTAACAACATCATCCAAGTTTGAATTTTCATCCATGAAGACCTCTGATACATCTTTAAAACAATCAAACTTGTTAACTACAAGCCTCTTTCCGATGCTGTGAGGTCTAGAAATGGTGTCACAGCCAGTAAAAGCATGAAGAAACAAAAGAGACTGTGTAAGGGTTGGGTGAAGCGCTCTTTTCAGAGAAGAAATGCACACAGTTTGCCTGGACATTTTCATGTATAGATTATGGGGTGAATCACCTACATGATGGATAAGAAGTTGAAAGACGTCTGTGTCCTCGGCGACCACAACAGTTGGACTATTTACTACAGAGACACATGCTCTCTTGCAGATCAGGTAGTCTGCATCCCCATCAGCATGCTCAACACTCATTCCAACTTTAACCAAGTGATCTCCAAGAAGTGAAATAAAACTCTGCTTATTCTCTACATTTGCCAAAAATGATTTTTTCTGCATAGTGAGCTTCATACTTGAGGATACAATTACTTTCACACCAATATCAGACCCCGCCCTGCGACTGTGTGCCTCGTCCTTGGTGCTTGGACCCAGGTATCCATCAAATATCACTATAGGGGAGCCATAGCTACCACGCAAATGCTGCACATACATGTCACAGATATCACCATAGTTGCTATTCTTGGGCCATGGGAATTTGTGTAATAAATTTCCCCCATCAATAACAAATTGAATATCATTGAGACAACTAGGCCCAGCAATACTTTGGGGTGCCATCTTGAGGAGACTGTGCATAAGTTCTGCTTTGTCACCTGTCCGCATGCGTAAATTGTGATCAAACAAAGCAGGAGGATAAGAACATAACTCAAACTGTAAAAGTTCCACCAAAGGGACTTCACCTTTACCCATTATGAGTAACCGTTGGTAGAGACACTGTGGGTTCATATGAATTCTTTCGCCCGAGGGGAGCTTTACCTGAGCAACAGATGCAAGGGTTTTGACTTGATCTCTGTGGGAAAATTTGTACTCTGCAACTGTTTTATCAGTCATAGTTGATAGCACTCTGTCTCCAACTGATTTTGCATCATAAGCATTTACTGAATCATCCCCTACCATTCCACTTGACAGACTAACCAATTTTTCTGAAGATGTACCGAAAGGTCTTCGCTCAACTAACACCTGAAGAAGTTTGCTTATGTCTGCCATGTCTCGACTGACTCGTGATTTCTCCAAGTCACGATGCCCATCTTCTACAACTGAATGCTGTTCTGAAACACTGAAAATTGCCTGACTAACTTCTGCACATATGGGTCGAGATAACAGAAACAAGAGACGGGCACTTTCTGAGAATCCTCTCCCACGTGTCAGACCTCCTGTTGACTTTAAACCAGCCATGAGAACTTGTTCAATGTATAAATCCGTGAAAATACCAGACCATGAACCATTTGTCCTGTGGACAGGGAATAGTCCATTCACAAATGCTGTATAGACATCAGGGTGAGTTTGTTCAAGGGCATGCATCTCAGGGATGAACAAAGAGAGGGATTTAGTGTAATTGTTATGCCCAGCGGCAGCAAGGTATGGGAGCATGTCAGTGAGAGCCTTCAAGTAGAGGTGCCAATTTCCTATTCTGACAGACCTGATGAATGTTCTCAAGATTGCAATCATGTCTAAATACTGGATCCATAATCTGGCAGTGCGGTAGGGGAACATAGATCTTCGCCAAGTAGTAAAAGCACTTTTGACATTGATCAGCGTGCCATTTGAGACAACAGATTCTAAGCTAAGTCGCCCAGAACGCACACCATCTACTAAGTTTTGTACTTGGGCCAACGGATGCTCACTAGAAAATGTTCTACCTACAGTAGAATCTTCAGGGTTAGGGAGAGGAATGTTCAGGGCTAAAGATGTTGCAATGACACTGAGGGCACTCTCTACAAGTAAATGACCTCGCACAGCACGAGACACAGATTTCCCACTCAGCATTTTATCCACTGAACCCTCAGCATAGACCTGTGAGAGGATAGCTTTCAGACCGGACCCGTCCATGATGGAACCAAGTGCACCAAGATAACTCATTTTAGTGTGGAAACCACCAAGAATCAACACAATGTGATGTAAGCGGCTAGATGATGGTTGGTCTTTGATTGTCATATAAGCTACCCAATAAAGTTGCTGATCAAATGTAACAATAGGCGTTTTTTCATGCCTCTCTGCAATGTCACACAGATACTCCAAAGTAGACCGTACACAGGTAGGGCTAGAAGGCTTCAGGTCAATCATGGGGAGAAAAAGAGGAGCACTGACACCTATGTTTGTTTTAGGGTGAAGTACTTGCATGAAACCTGACCACAGGGGCCGGGGGCGCTCTATGAAAAGTGACACTTGCCATAATAAATCAAGGTGCATGTTTTGCTCATCTGGGGTGTAAAAAGGAAGGCTGGGGTATTTTATCTTTGACAGCACACTTTTTGGGTCTCTCTGGAAAAATACCTTATGTTTGCCTATTTTCTTTATGTCTTCCATATTAACCTTTCGCCGGGGAATTTCTTTCACATTCTCTGGTGAAGGTGTGACAATACCCATTTGGCCCATCATATGTATGACGTCTTGACCATCAAGGGTTAGAGAATTGTGATCCACGTTGTCGGCCACTAAATGAAGCAATGCATCAGGTGCAACATCTTTGATATCGACTCCCTGCGTCATGGCAGCATTTTGCTTATACAGATTTGCCTCAGAGTAAGAAGAGCAAAACCCAAAGCTGTTCAAGAGATCGACCAAATCCCTATGGCCATACTTGTGGTCTAAAGTAACACTGAGCCCAACTTGTAAAGGAGTCAGGAAAGCACGTGGGAACGCTGAGCTCATTATTGCCTGCCCAATAGCAGCACATCTGATGTCAGCATTTTTGCTTTTGATTATTGACTTCAAAAGAAGATTTAAAGAGGGTGGTAACACTGATAGGTTTTGGGAAACAGAGCTAATATCTTTTTTAGTGGGATATATGTTGTTATGCTTTGGTGTACTTTTTATCTCATTTCTGATATGAGCTGCTACCATTTTAACCTGGTTTTCAATACCATCATTTGTATTTTGATGGGCATCCTGGACAAGCTTTTCCAAATTAGCTTTCAATGTTACAATAAGTGGCTGTTGCTTTACAGAAGTGATGGTAACTCTGTCCCCATAGTAAGCATAAAGTTGTCTTTGAAGAGATTTTTTTGAGTAACCGTCATCACAATTTGAATCATTTTGCATGATCTCATACAGATCATCAAGAGTGACCGTCTCATCGTCATTGTTTTCCAAATATTCTACAACTTTCAGAAATAAGGATTGTTTATTGACATCAATCTGACCAGCACTTCGACCATGTTTGTTTACTGAGGTCAGACTACCCAAAGCCAAATTTCTGGGGGATAAAAAACACTTGTAACATTTCCTGTGATAAATGGCCTCTTCGGCTGGCAGGTCGTTAACACAGGACAGCCTCCGTGACACAGCCGCTGCCCATTCATCGTCACCGTCCTTCTGTCTGTCAGCGCACCTTTTGGCTACTGTATCTTTTACACTTAGGAGCATAACACGGCTGTAGTCATATTGGGGGTTATTGGGAAATCTTTTACTCTTTTCTTGGTCAACCAGATTGCCACAAATGAAGCAGTCAGTCATAAAGGAAAATGGGTTGGTTTCTGATCGCATTTTTTTAAGTGGAACAGAAGTGTCTTTCTGGCTGTGTTCAGATGATTTCCTTTTATCTGTAAACCTTTTTCTGCAACTTTCATGCACATGCTTGTGTTCATTTTCAGAAAATTCATATACTGGCAGTGGATCATTCGGGTGATGTTCATTGTGTTCGTGAATATACTTGTTTATTGTTTCAATGCCTTTTTTACCTAACTTGTGGTATGTTTCTTGAGTAAGTTCTTTACTACACAATATGCACACGGAGTTAGGGGAAGCCATGGTCAATTTGTGGTTCAGGTGATCTGGTTTGAAACAGCCTTAGCTGCTTCAGCTTTAAAGACAAAAATTATATGTATTTAATAAATTAGTTTTACATATTTATGTACATTCATTACTATTAAAACTCTTTACGAACCCTGTTCATGCTGTTATAATGTACTTCTTTTGTTTCGAATATATTTACAATACATTAAATTATTTTCCTGGTCCAGTTACTAAATAAGATATTTAAATGGGATTTTAAATGGCTTATCCTGAAATTACCTTTTGAAATTTAAAAGGAGTGTCACTCCATTCTTCAAAAATGGTGGCAAGTCAACAAATTAATTTTCCAGTCTTTATTTCCAAAAGAAATTGCAGTAATTGTGACCAGATGAGACATTGATTGTGCTTGGATGTGACAGTCTGTTTTTTTATTTCTTTATTCATTTTTCTATTAATTATTTTTTTAAAAATTTATTCATTAACCTATTTATTTATTTGTGACATACATGTTTTTTTACCAATAAAGAAAAAAAAAACAATTTAGACTTTGTTCAGCAGAGATTGTAATAAATGAATTGTAAAAACATGTTTTTGTTTTTGTCAAAATTGCAATTACATTGTAATTATGCCAAAACTTCCAACTGTGACGACCCCCAAAAAGTTTCAAATGATAAATGTTGCCTTTTTTAGTAGGGATTGATAATTAAAATATGTTTCTGCAACATTGGGTAACAAAATATGGTCAAAAAAGGCGTTTTTGGAGCAAAAAAATCCAATGACCTTGTAAGTAGGTCATGACCTTGACCTCTGATGACCTTGACAGTAGTAGCAAATGATCGCTGATACCTTACTTAGTAGGAATAGATACTTTTAACATGTTTCTCTCACACTGGGTTAAGAAGATAAGCCCATTAAGGTGACCCACCCCATTCAATGGCGGCCATTTTGGATTTTGGCCAAAAAAAAGACTTTGCCATGGGGGGATTCATGGGGGAAATTTTTTGGGTTATATTGGGCCTTCAACGGACCAGAATCAGTTGAGAAACCTTTGTCACCAATTTTTTCCAACCTCAATGGGGAAAATATGCTCGTTTACTGGCCTAGTAGGCAGGGACAATTAGGAGTCAGTTAACATTTTATTAAAGTGACTGTTTTTATATGGAATAAGTGAAGAGCAAATATATATATAAAAAAGAGTTTGTTATTCTTTTTATAATTTTTCCCACATACTAGAATTTTAAGAAAAAATTATTTATTATAATTTATAATTGTGTTATTTGTTGTGGTGCTAAATGAGTCGCCCAATCCAAGCTATCAGGTTTAGTTTAAATGTTTTGTGGCAAAATGTTAGTTTTCAAGGGAATCATTGCAAATCTTGGGTATAAAAGATGGATTGATACGTGGTATTCATTGAGATCTATATTCATCTTTTAAGGGTGAGCTGACTTTGCAAAAATACTGGTTTTACATTCAACCCACCATGAGAACTCTGGAAATCCTTGCCTCTGTGGCAAATGCTGTCAATAAGGTAATTTCAGTGGAGAAAATTGTTTTCCTCATATGATTTTATCTTTTAAGCTCTTTATCCTTGTATGCTCATACTCTTGTAGCAGTTGATTAATATATTTCAATAATCTCAAATAGCAGGAAAAGAGAGGATGTGTTTTTTCTTCTTGGGAATGTTTTCCTCCAGTCTGCATCTACTACAAATAATAATTCCATCCTATTTAGATGCATTTATAGCCAAACTGCATTCTAGTACACTACAATCAGCAAACTGACAAGAAGAGCATATGTAGTGTCAAGATAATTTCTCTTAAATCTCTGAATGATATGCATTTCAGATATTTTCTGCACAGGTAACTTATTGGGTTTCATAACTGGCAACTCATAAACAGCTTGCATGTTTGGTATACAAAAAAAGTTAACCTAAAAGACATACACATTTGGTGTTGGAAATGAAGGTTTGATGAACCCACCCCTATTTTGTGCCATTAACTCTGGTTTGATAATGAAAATAACAATTGTTTGATGTAAAAATGATTTTTATGAACAGACATGGTAAAACAGGTTTGAAAAAGGAGTTAACAATTACCGTATTCTGTGGCTTTGTTTTTCTGTTTGCATGATGTTTCATTGTTTTTTATTTCTAAAATTTCAAACAGACTGATTGAAAATGTCAAAAGTGCTCTTTGAGTTTGTAATTTGCAATCCCAGCTTGATAAAAGTGTACAGTGCTTGAAACCAGTAATTTGGTTTTGTTTCAAACAGGATTGGGAGCCAGATTTGAATTATGTATTCTAAATTTTCAGTGAAATTAGAGAATGTGTATTGAAACAAAGAAAAAAGGTCTGGTGATATGGGATTGGTGGAAATAAAAATGCATTGCACCAGAAATGATTTTTTTTCATCTAAACATTAATTTTTTATCCAGAGTGAAGTATTTTTCACCAAGGCAACCTTGCTGCCCAGTATTGCTTAAATTGGACATTTTGACAAATTGTTTTTGCAGCATGGTGGTGGTATTCATTATTTACATTGCTAGAAACATGTGCCAAGATTTAGGTTTCACTTGCATCATATGCTATCAGATAATCGCATGGTGGTTGTTAGTATAATAATCACATGTTCATTGATCAAATCAGGGTGTTAGGAATTTGTACCTGTCTTTGAGAATATTGACTGCCTATTCCCCTTTCACATGACAAACTTGTGTTGAAGTGTGAAGTTCTTTTCCAGTATATAAAATATTATCCTTATGTTTACATTTATTCATATTGTCCCTGTTTTGTCGAGAGAAAAATTCTGAAATTATTTTATATTATTAAGATCACAATAACTAGAGCATTGTAATTTTTTTCTTTTGGATGACTGGTCTTTCTTAAGACTTTATTTCAGTTTGAACACAAGTTACTACAATTAGAAACCTCTTTAATGCTGCTTTCTGAAAGACTTAACTTTTCACCATATTTATTTTCCAAGATTTTTGGCTGAATGTTCTGATTTCTATTTCAGGGTGAATGCATTGGAGGTGCTGTGCTCAGTCTGCTACATGAGAAAACTTCCAGTCTTATAGGGTAAGACAACCTCATCAAATTTTGCAATTGTAACTTTATCTAAATTCTTTGGGATTGACTTCTGACTTTGGGATTGACTGTACAGTGTACAGGGAAAGATTCAGCCTCTGTTATGTATTATATCACTCCTAAACATATTAATTTAATTAGATTAATTTAATTAGATTATTAACAGTTTAATGTCAGAGTATAGAAGTCATGAATCATATCAAGTATAACATTGATATGCGTATACAGAGATGTCAAGGGCCAGGAGCTGTGTCTGTACCTGACCCAGGCAGCATGTGTTCCCTACCTGGAGATCCTAGAGAAGTGGATTTACAAAGGAATTGTCTGTGATCCATATGCAGAGGTATGAAGCATGTCTTCAGTTCTCAAGCCTGTGTATTATGACTAGTCATTGTGCTTGTATCGTAATTAATTCTTGGTATTGTATTTTTTAAATAAATAAATATTTATTTCGTATTTATACATTCTGTTGCCTCTCGTCTCTCTGTCATTCTTTAATATACCCTCATTAAGTGTCTCTCTCCTTGCTAATATTTAAAACCCCAGGAAATTTATAGTTATTAGCAACCAACTCTGGTCATATCTTAAAATTGTTGTCATTTTTGTTGGTCTAAGAATTTTATACCTTGGGTATGAGAAGGAACCACTTTTTAATTTTTTTTTTTTTTTCAGTTTCTTGTTGAGGAGAATGAGACAATGTCCAAGGAAAAATTGCAAGAGGATTTTAACGATGCATATCCTTTGCTTAAGTCTGTTGAAAAAAATATGATGGGTAATGTCATTGATTAAAAAGATGAAGTATTTGGTTGAATCGATAAGTTAACTTTGAATAGTTCATTTCCTCTTCACTAACCATTGTAAGAAAGTGTGTAATTTTTTACTCTCCGAGCATTGACCTTAATGGTGAGAACATATTGGGACCAGCACTATTCAATACGCCGAGAAAGAATTCCTGTGTTTCTGGAACAAGTAGCTGATAAAATCCTCAACACAGGAAAATACTTAAATGTTGTTCGTCTTTGTGGTAGGTATTGCTTTTGAAAGATGATGTTGAAGAGTAGCAACTTTCTGTTGACCATGTTTAGAACAAAAATGAGATACGGTAAGTCTCCAATCTATACGAACGATTTAAATTAATTATTTTTGGAAGATAATCATTTTGTTCGTAAGGCTTGAAATTCAGTCTGCTAAAAATTGCCACGCGTTCGTATCCATTGAAATACGAATGGAATACGGCTGTACCGGAAGTTATTTCCACTTAACTAACATTGCTAAGTGTAAGCATTACTTTCAGATTAAATCACTGTGATCAGCTTTTAGCACAAACAAATTATTTTTGCGATATTGCAGTGAATTAAAACAAACTAAACAAAAGTCGGGAATTCAAGTTAAGAAACAATTTCTTCATACTAAAGAGTTACATTTCTCCCAAGACAAGACAACATCGTTTTTCCCTGTTATGTTTTACCAAGACAGGACAACATCGTTTTTCCCAACTTCTGTCAAAAACAGACAAGAATATTTGCGTATCCAGTTTCATATTTTATTCATTGCTTGTTTACTTTTAATATGATTTCACATATAGAAAATTTGCAATATTGATAATGTCCCCCCCCCCCAAATTAGGCCTACATAAATTTCTTCTGCCAAAACAAAATACTTGAAACTCCTCACAGTAGATATCACTTACGTTAATAGAGATTATACTTGATATAAAAAAATAACATCAGCTCAATTCACGTCTATTTATGAAAGTCTTTTACAGAATATTAATTTGCACGCAATCAATGTAAACTTAGTTAGAAAAAATACAGAAAACTGCAAGCAAATTTGTATAAAGTCATACGGCACCTTTATTTTTCACAATCACCAATATACCGGTAAGTAAGGTTTACCTAATGGTTGTTCATGAGACAAGGTCTTTAACAAGGAAAAACAAACAAACAAACAAACAAAAAGCATGAACTTTATCACAACTCAAATGAGAAAAATAAATACAAGACAGAACTCCTCTTAAAAATTTTATTTCCTAATGACTACCAAAAACAAATGAAAAACTCGATCATTGACTATGGATTTCTCATACTTTTCTGTTGTGCGTGGGTTTCACGTTTATAGATTTTACTGGAAACCAGTTATCGGTGAAACACCGATGGTGGATGTTGATGATCCAGTCGGCCGGCAGAAGTTAAGAAATGATAATAAACAGTAATTTATGTGTACTGATGCTCTCAATAATTTCTAAATAACAATAGGGTTTTAAAACTGGCCTGCAGCTGCCGGCGGGCAGGTTGAGTCCTTCTATCGTCTCATTCAAAAACAGCACAAATACATGATAACAATCTCTCCTGTCAAGTGGCAGTTCCTTTGTTTGGAACGGTGGTCTGAAAACTCGCTTTAACGAATCATGGGGCGAGTTTCAATTGGGCACACTTTCTTGCGTTCGGAAAATTTAAATTGTGCCCAAGGTGAGTTTAGCGATCGTTCGTACAGAACGGAGACAAAAAATTCAGATTCAGAGAAAAAACGTTTCGTTCGTAATTATTGCGGCGTTCGTATAGATTGGAGAATTACCGTAGTGAGAGAGAGAGAGAGCAAAGCGACCTAAATAGCAAGTTAAAAGATCACACATGTAAACGTATAGACTACAACATATCCATAATACATTTAAGATTTGTTCCATTCTGAAGAGAAAAGTACCCATTGAGCAGTCAGTCCAACTATTTATTGTTGACGTACATCAGATCAGATATTCACATTAACAAACTTTCAACCGGGACAAAAATAACTTTGTATGGGTATGTAACATGATATGAGAACATGATACAATATGTTATGCCCATTGAATAATTCTAATTTATTGCCATTGCAAATCTGGTGAGGTATTGAAACCCTCAACTGCTGAATCACAAAAAATGTGGGCATGCAATGTTAGCTTGGAACACCTGTTACAAGTGCTGGCATTCATTTTATTCTAAGGCTAGGGATGACTTTGCATTGACTTTATAAAATGCAAATTGTTGCATGTGTTGTAATGATTTGGAAAGGGCCAGGTGTACATTGGCTGGCAACCTTGTTAATCTGTCTTTATTAAGTTTCACAGCAGGCTTTTGACCTGAAAGAAGCATTAGCTGACAGTTTGAGTTAAGAGATGAAGTAACAAAATAATGACCTGAGAACAGCTTCCACTTGTATCTCTTACAAGAAAATATCTAAATATCACCACCCAGTGCCAGTTATTGAAAATGATTACATTAACAATAGTCAAATGAAACACTTTTTAAACTTCTCTAGAGACATTTATTAAAAATTTAAGAAACCTGAAAGAAATACAATAAGTATTAGTGCACTAAGTTTTCACGAGCATAAGTGTTCATGTAAATGTGCTTATATGCACAGACACTTTCAACAGCTCTTCATATAATTTTATTACACATTTTAAATATATCAATTTCAGGCAGGGATGTAAAGTGCCCCAATGCTGAGGAGATAGTGTATACCATAAAGGAGCGTCAGTATGTGGAACACATTGAGAGAGCTTATGCCTTTGCCAGTAAAGTGTTACTGGAGTTGCTGATGGAAGAAAAGGAGCTCATGGGAAGGTTGAGGTAGGTTTTTTTATTATTATTAGTTTATTGTAGATACTATAGGTAAATCAGAACATTGTTCCAGATGATGATGTCATTCATTAAGTTTGATAATGATTTTATTATTGTGATTCAGTAGTCATGATGGTATGATATAATAACCATAACATTTAGCATTTCTTTACACCATTAAACAATTTATTTAAAAAAACAGTTATTAATCATGTTAATTAAGCATGAGGTATGCTGAATCTTAATTTCTTACCAGATTGTTAGACTTCTGTATAATTTTCTACACTCTGTGATGCCCTTATACTATATTTATACCCAGGTCATTGAAGCACTATTTCCTGCTGGACCAGGGAGACTTCATTGGTCAGCTGATGGACATGACAGAGGAGGAGCTTAAGAAAACCATTGATGAGATCATGCCTGGACGTCTGGAGACCCTGCTAGAGTTGGCTCTACGGACCAGCACTGCCAATGCAGACCCATATAAAGATGACCTCCGTGTGGACTTGCTGCCTTATGATCTCATTACACAGATGTTCAAGATTTTGACCATCGATACCAAATTAGAAAAAGGTTTGTGTCTCTAGCCTGTTTTTATGGATTAAAAACAAAGCATGAAGTTTAGATAAAAAGTGGGTTTAACCATTTATATGTTAATAGATCATAAGTATCATAATTTTTTAATGACAAAGAGTCATAAAAGTTTTAAAACAATATTTGTAGTTCCTGGCTTGTTTATGAAATCCTGTTTCTGGAAGTAGCATAGTTTGCACGGCCACTCCAATATAAAGTGTGGACATTGTTCTCTCTGTCTCTCTTCCAGACTACAGAGTGGATCCAGTGGACCTCAGGCTGTCTGGCCTGGAGGCATTCTCCTTTGACTACATGGTCAAGTGGCCGGTCACCTTGGTACTGAACAGAAAGGTAAACCCATCCTGTGTTACACATATGAAATGTATTTGTAACAGTCAGACAATTGGTTTGTCCATTGAGCTGTGAAGTAATTTCACAGTACCTGGTTTATAATATTGAAAAGTATTTATAAGTTTGAGCAATGCTGTAGTTACTCATAGGAATAAATGTTTTTTACTATTTAGTGCTTTTTAGCAACAAAGCAAATTTGTGCAGATGGAAAAATATATCATTATTTTTTTTTGTAATCCAGAGCCTCACTAGATACCAGATGCTGTTTAGACACTTGTTTTACTGCAAACATGTAGAAAGACAACTATGCAAGTAAGAAAAAAGGATAGCACCATCTTCTCTCATTTGGTACTTTTTGAGAGACTCATCCTATGATACTAATTTATAAAACAACATTGGTTAATTTTGTAATTTTTTGCATTCTTTATACCCAAGATTACTTGAACATTCTTAAAAAAAATAAGTTAACCAGTTCATCCATGTCATTTAAGTAACGTTATAAGTTCCAGAATTTTATTGCTATCTCATCTGATTTAATTCTGCTGATTAACTGAAAGCATTCACTCATTCTAAAAAAATCTTTGACTATAGAGCTAAAATATCATAATTGCAAACATTTCTTTGGTTTCATTCATCAGTTCAACATACCATGTTTCAGCGTGTGGGTGAGCAATAAGGCTGCCAAGATGTTCACTCTCCAAAGCACAAGGTGGTATGCCGCTGCCTTTGCTCTCAGACAACGGATGCTGAACTTTGTCCAGAACTTCATGTACTATATGATGTTTGAGGTGGTGGAGCCCAACTGGCATGACTTTGAGCAGAACATGAATGATGTAAGCACTGTAGTCTGTGGGAAGTATTATCATGTGAAACCAAGTCAAATATTGTACATAAGAAGTGTTGGTTTGTAAAATGTGCATTTACTTACACAAATTGTAATAATTGATGATGCAATGCAATGTGTTTATTGGGTAAATGCAGAAGGTTACTTTCCAAGCATATCAGTTTCACAGGAAATATCACTTCCCCATGGGTGGAAGTTTTCAGGATTATGCCTGATCTCAGAATTTTAAGTTTTCATTCTGATGTTTCTTTTTTCTTTCTTTTTTCTTTAATATGGTCTAGAGTGATGAGAAATTGCAAGCTATGTTTTCAGGATTACGTATCAGTTTTTACAAGTTTCATTCATGGTTCCAGGTGACGACTATAGATGATGTCCTGGCATTTCACAATGATTTCCTCAACAGTTGCCTCAATGACTGCATGCTCACCAACCCAGACCTACTGAAGATTGTACATAAACTGATGATGGTCTGTGTTACATACTGTAACTTCATGCAGGTATGTCCCTGTGGTCTGTAAAATGTCATTTTATTAAATTATATTAAAGTTTGCATTTGTATATTATATTTTGTATTGATTATTATTGTCATCAGGTGAAAGAATTCCAAATATATCAAGAAGAAATTCGAACTTTGTATTTTAGTTTAAAGGTATTTCCCATATGTTTTCACACACATTATTATTTTGTGCTCATGTATGAAAGAAAGTTCACTACAAAAAAAGAAATAGGTGCAGTGCAGTTTGACCAGACAGGATGTAGTTGTCCCCGTGCTTATATTGACTTCTTGTGTACTGTTCTGATAGAGAGTAACTAAAACAACTGATGTAGACCTAGAGATGTCTAAGTTGAACTTTGAGAGCACCCTGCAGGCAGCACCCACAGCCAAACAGAGGAAACAGGAACCAAGTTTTAAGAAAACAACTGCAAAAGTAAGAGACCATGGCTATAATTGTGAAAATTTTAGTTTGAAGTTGTGATGAGTTTGAGGGTTCTATGAAGTATGGGCATTTGATCATATATAATGAAAGTTTGGGTGTAAAAAGGGCAGTACTTCTGTGAAATATAAACATTTGATAATTCAAAGATATTTTAGACTTTTATCGCTATATTTCTATGTTAATATTTCTAGGTTGTCTCTGAGCATGTAGACCAGTTAACTTCAAGTGAGAACTTTGAGAGAACAATTTCTAAGTTTGACAGTAATTTTTCCAAGCTTCTTGTGGAACTGCTGGACAAAACTATGGACTACAGCACAGCAAACTGTGAACACAAACTTATGAATATTTTGTACAGGTTAGTTTATGTTGCTTATTGTCAAGGGCAAAAGCTATATGTAACATAATTCTACCGGTTTGTACTTTCTCAATTCAGTGACATTTTTGCTTAGCAAGAAGGATGTCTACATTCCCACTGAAGGTTACATACTTCTAGGTCCAGTGCCTTCATGTAGAGAAGTTTTTTATTCATTTATGTTGCTTAGCATGATGTGATAGTGAAAAAATAAGTAACCTTTGCTTTTTGTGCTTGACTTAATTCCACTGACAATAGAAAATTGCCCTACAATCTGTATGACTTAGATGTTCCAATAATTTTCTTTACCAGGTTGGATTTTAATGGTTTTTATACAGAGCAGCTTGAGGCAGTTGCACAAGAAAGGTCCATGATAGAAGCTGCACCACCAGAGTCTGAACCTGGTGAGTTTTAGGCTTCAGAACAAAACTTTTATCAATTGCCCAATCTACATGTATCTGTGGTGGTGTTTTGCTCAATTTGATTGGCGACATTTCCTTTCCCTTTTCTCACCAACATCTTGTATTGTGGTGAACTTAACCCCGCTGGCTGTTAAGATATGTAGAGAATATATTTTCATTGCACTTGTGTGCAATTCAGTCGTCATTCTATTTCCTGTATTTACCCAGCTCTTATATTTATCACCTGTTTATCTTTGATGATTTAATTGCTAAATCTATAGTCCATACATCATTGCATTTTCTCACCAACATTTTGTATTGTAGTTTGGTTGATCATAAAAGCTGTTAAGATAATGGAATTGAATAATTGAATGCTATGTATTTACATTGCTTTTGAAAGATATTAAGCTATCCTGTTTTCTCTATTTCAGGCAGCTCTCATAGTCGGCCCAGGTCTGGCAGAAGCACAGCAAGCAGCACATGATGGTCATCTATAAGGAGTTTATATATTGTGGGCTCTAAATTATATTCAGACATTATAAGCATGGAAACTGTAATGCTTCACCTGTTGGTAGCAGCCGCAGTTTCTGTACATCCTGCTTAGTCATGTTTAATGCCACACAACGCACCAGGTCCAGCTTTCAACGCTTAAAGCTGGCATTAAGTGAAATAAAGATCTCAAGGCAACACTTTTCTTTGGATCTCTTCAGTTATTTTAATTGAAGTTTGATAGTTGAACATTTAATACATCTCATGATTCAGCAAATTTAAATTATCAGAAAGGTATCTAACGAACACAAGTATTTTGATCAAAAAGAATAATTTTATTCTCCCACAACGCTGCCTTTGTTACTATTTTTAAAAGCGATTCTTTACCCCAGTGCGTTTTTCTTTTCTTTTTATCTGATCTTTCAAATAAATTACGTTACAGTTTGGTGTCGTTGTCTGTTCAATAAATGGAAGTACGATCGTTTTACTAGCATGCTGACAATAGACCAGTTCGTCTCTGTTGATATTAACCGGTACCCAGTAATCCGAGTAGAGCTAAAAATGAATTGGCTTTTCATGTACAGTGCACCTAATCCTAATGGAGCGACAAGTGATGCATTTGGAATTGGGATCGAGTTTTCCTATTTGTGGTTATTGACACCGCTTACGAATTAGGTTCTTTCCATTAATATTGGTTTGTCTGGTTATAAATTGCCAAGAAGTCTCGTCACAAATTTCAAGAAATTTTCGGGTCTTTTAATACCAATTTCTGCTTTCAGAAATTACCATTGTCTTTGTAGGATATTTGCGTTCTTGGGGCCTTCTCTCATTAGCTTTTTACACATTGAACTTTTTCATGATCTACATGTAGCCACTGAACGAGGAACCCGTTCTGTCGGCGTAACAAGGGTCTTTTCTGTTTATTGTCAAATATAATGTTCACTAGGGTCATATGCCACCTGAAAACGATTAATGACCCTTACTAGAAGGATTGATATTGGATGCAGTCTAGTATTTTGGTCCCGTGCCCTTGGAACAGAACAGGACTTTTACAGATTGATGAGATCTGCAGATCAAAAATGAGCACTAAAATGACGATATCGCATTATCATTTGAACGGTTTCTGAATCCCCCTCAAAGGGTTTTTCGGATGTAGTGCAATCCAGTCCTCGTGGTTTAGAAATGAACTTTGTAAAGAAAATTTACAGTAAGGAAAATAGTACGTACAGTGTATGGTTTGTATTGATAGGCAAGACAGTTTCTTTTTTAAATAAAGTCGATTTTCTTCATTATACACTTCTTGTATAATTTGGATCTTTGCGATTTAAGATTTGTGGGCTCATTCCCAATAAAACTGTTCTTCTACATAGAACGATCTAACTCCGAGGAGACTCGCTGAATGGAATCAGATTAACAGATCAACACGGCTCGGATTAACAGCTCAACACAGCTCGGATTAACAGATCAACACGCCGCCTCCTGAGTTTGAGTGTAAAATACAAAAAAAAAAAAATACTGGTGATTATACGTGTCCATTGGAAATTACAGGAGGCGTGTTAATCTGGTTGCATTCAGCGAGAGTCGGAGCGGAGTTTTAATCGATCTACGTAGAGCGATGGTTTCATTGGGAATGGGCCGTATAATCAATTTTTATCACACTGTTTTACATGACTCCTTTCTTCTAGGGATAGATTGTAAAGGTCAGTGTCGCCTTTAAAGTCTTGTCATGTATCTGTAATGTAGTCTTGGTCAGAGTGATTTATGTCAGTAAAATACTTCAAAAGGTGAGAAAGATAAATGGCTCTTGCGTATGAAATAAGGTCTGTAGGGCAAATGGGCACCATTTTTTTTATTTGACCTTGATAGTATCCTCGTTACATATTAAATGCACGCTATCCACGTGACTCCAAATGAATAATGACTTACAAAACATTCTAACCATTTTATTAAACAAATTATGATGGTGCTTTTGTGAATATTTCAACATTTTGAAGTTATATTAGCAACGGTCACTTCATGATGATTCAATAAAAACTGAAGAATGATTTTAAAATGAAAATTTGAAGTGTGCAGAATCTGGGGCGTCATAATACTTGACACTGTCTCTTGCGAGCGTTTATCATCACCATGTCGGCCAATGTTGAAATCGGTAGAGGTGTAATGGTTGTTATAGAGGACTTTACAAGAATACGGCGCTTTTTGTGACCTACAAGAAGTAGTATAAAAACATTGTTTAAATGTACTCGATCATTATCATTTTAGCCGCGATATTGTTGCTTTCTTTTCAATTATGTAAAATAACGCACTTGCCGAAGAAAGGTGTAGAATAAAATGGATTTTCAATATTCATTTTATTAATATACTGAGAAATAAGCAGGACCTCCTACTTCCACCTCTCAACACCAACAAAAATATTTGGATGATATATTTGCTGATTTTCCTTAAAAAATATACAGTCGTGGTATTGTATTATAACCGGTCAACATGTTTTCAGGACAAATTGACAGTTGTAGTTGATGTTCCAGCGACAGTCAAAATAAATCAAAATGAATACTTCTCTCCAATTAATACGTCAACATAATATATACATCAATTAATATTTCAAATTATTAAATAATGCAAAAATTAATCTTGTTAATTATAAATATATTTTGTATAAAAATAATTTGAATAAGGCAAGTTGAATGAATTCTTTATAAAAAAATCCTGACCATGTGTAAAATAGTACAAAAAAAGAACAAACAATATGACTTACTTGAATAATGAATAGTTTTCATTTATATAAACAACAAGCAGTGCCCACCGGTGTAAGTTACTTATTAATAAAATAAGTAACTTACCATACTTGGTGTAAACTCCGTAGGGTTATACTATGGTTTTATCACCCTTAAATGTAACATTCAATCACGGTGGATTAAATTAATTATTTGCTTACTCTAATATAGAGTATAATCAAGATAGTCTTAAACATTGAGAAAGTTGTATTTTGTCTGTTCCTCGAAGATATATTACAAGTAAGTACAAGGATACCGGTGATTTTAAACCGAGTTGGTGACTCGGCGTTTGGTCATGTTTCTTGTTGGACAGTTGAAGCTACTCTGACAGTTCAGGCGGTTCACCGGGTCACATTGAAGTTAACCGTTCCTCTTCGTTCCCGTCATTTTTTTCCGGAATCTGTATACGTGTAAATAAACTTTTTGGTTCATTCTTATTTAGTAATTAGTAATATGTTGCCTTCAAATAAAATATAGAATAACCTTTATAGTTTGTGGACTTTAACGTTATAAGTATACGATTTACAACTGAAACTTTTATTTTCTGAAAAATAGTACATTTTTTATAAAAAGCCAATGAAAATTTGTCTATAATACTTACTGTGAGCAATGTGCTTGATGACAATTGGTGATGCAAAGTCTTGCACTTGCTGCACGCTGAAACGGAAAATAACTATAATTACAGGGTGAAGGTAAAATATTACCAGCCACTTCAACTGGGTCTGCATCTTGTGAGTTCACCCTGACTTAAACATATCACGAGAGGAACAGATTAATATTAAAAGAAAAATACACATGGGACGTCCAGGTAACTATCTCCCATATGAAGGAGCGATTTTGGGTCTTCAAAAATACGCAACGAAATGCTTACCATGTCGACTGATAAACTCGTCTGCAACCCAGTTTCCGTGATGATGCTCTTTATTTGATCCAGTGTCTTCTCCCAAAACGCCATTTTCTTTTGTCTCTATTGGTGTTCCTCCCTGTCTGACTATGTAGTGGTAAACAAACGTGGCTAGGCAGGCTCCAGCAATAGGGCCGACCCAGTACAGCTATATAAAAATGATTCGGAAAAGAGTGAGGAGTATATTCTAGTCATGTTTATTTGGTTAATTTGTATATGGCCTGAGTCTCTTTATGCTAGCATACGCAAATGATAACCAACAAAGGTAGTTCTCAAAAGGTTTTTTTGTGCGCGCGCGTGTATTATACGTAGCAAACTCACCCAACTATGCTCCCATTGGCCAGCTATGAAGGAACGCCCAAATGATATACACGGGTTCAGCATCGTGCCAGATAAATCTGCCTAAAATATCAAAACATCAGTGGTAATCATTATTGACTGTGCATTATCAATTCATACTTGACTATGATATAGGGAGAATTTACCCGTTATTAACATAAACCAGATTAAAAGTGTGCGTTTAATAGAATACAGAAAAGCTAATGATTATACTTTGGAAACAAGAGGAGGCGTGTTAATCTGATTGCATTCAGCGATAGTCCCCACGAAGTTGGGTCGATCTACGTAGACTGATAGTTTCATTGGGAATGTGCCCTAGACTGATCAACTTACCCCGGTAACGATGGCTACTGTCACCCACAGTCCGATGGACAGTCCCCAGGATGGGTCATATGGGTGATAATGGGTATCAATAGACCCCAGAGCAACGAAGACCAGGACAAATGTGTTAAACACTTCAATTCCAAAAGCTTGTGCCAGAGTCACTTCATGATGATGTCGTATGTAGCCGCTGATCTGACGACCGGGTGGAACGAACCTGAAAGAAAGAAGAAATTAAGGGAAATAAATAAAATCTTGCTGCAATGTGTCACCGTCCTTGCATGAGTGATCTTGTCTTCACTCACACATAATAGTTAAATGTAAAATCCCTTTGCCAGTTAAATACTCGATCATTCCGCGAAAAGCAAACATTTCAGCATTCATCTCTGTGTATAAATGTCTCTAAAATAGGGGAACTTAATGGAAACAACTTCTTAAGACGCTGTTAGTGCTATTTTTTAAATTGGGTTTACTCTACTGCGAAATTTCCATTGACGCTTCTCTTACGCTTCAGGCAGCCATGCTCCCAAAACTGCTCCGGTACACTGGGCAACGACATATATCAGCGCTACAAATTAAAAAGGCACTTAGACTGGGTTTCATTTCTAAATAGCAAGATACAGATACCTATTTGCACTATAACGATTTTAAAATTACGATGGATAGTTTACTTTTTTCTCCAAACAAAACATTATCAGAAGTACCAACTGTGAATAAAGGAATTTAGGCATCTTTTCTCGTGAAAATAAACTAATAACCAATAAGTACAATTTGTGATAAAATGAAGAAAGAAATAATTAAATACAATGTAAATAGAATAAACGAGGACGGTTCCTTGAATTTGTGATACAAGTTATTAACCGGTGTTAATGGCACAGTAGTTTAAGATAGTGGCAGGTGTTTTTGTCATGTTACCTTTCAGAGGGGTGAACTGCTTAGAAATAAGGAGTGCCAGACTCACTGCAGGGTTGATGTGTGCGCCGCTGACGTGACCAATAGCAGCAACAATACAGTACACGCAGAAGCCTGGAAAAGCACTGTGGCATGTTTATAAGAAACTAAAAATGAACATATGAAGCTTTGAATTTCCTTTTACTCTGCTCTGCCTCTGTCCGGCATGTGGCAGTGTATGTAGCATAGTTGTACACAATTTTATTTAACTTGCTAGCTTAAACATTCAATTACCCTTTAAACACTTTCAAAACAAGAATTCATTGGCCGTAGCTCACATAATTGTCATTTAATTAAAAGATGTAAACAATCTAAAGCAGCTTATATGAATATTTTTAATAATGATTTTATTCAATAGGACAATTTTGCTTGGCAAATGCACGTTTTCTTGAACTGCGTCAACCAAATCTGGCATAGTGTAGGCAATAACAGATGTGGCTGCAGCTGGGATTTTAAAACGTGTAACGTGCACCATTTGACAGTTTTACCAAATCAGAAGTTACAATAATAAGTTCTTTCAACCACAGCTAAAAGCTATCTATTGTAAAACACAGTTGATGGGATCGTTCACTGGCTTTTATGGACCAGGGAAAACCTTTATGTAATTTGGTCTCACACTGATACCGGATTCGAAAAATTAAAAGTTTATATATGGAGTAAATTGGATATTTCTCTTTTTTGTGTGAACCAGAACAATAATTTAACCTTCGTTAAAGTGGAACCATAGTCTTAAAGCTTATAGTAAATTTTTTGTGAAACCGCTCATGGACTGGCTTTAAGGTTTAAGTATGAAAGGTATGGAAGTTAGCCAACCTTATCCTCGTTATGCCTTATCCCAGTCCTCGTTATATACGCTATCCAAGTAAAATGAAACTGAAGGTCCGAGTAACAGAGAGCACAACCCCCATTAGCTTCATACAGGTAAGAAAAGTGCCACGTAAGTGGGTCAAAATGAGCTTACCTGTACACATTTTAAACAAGACAAATACAAATGTTAAAATCGGTGAGAACTAGAGTCCAGTGTCACAAGGGACAATCTCGATGTACGCTTGTATTAAATACCTTGAAATATTAGGAACATATGTCACTAGCAAATTGACTTGAACTGCTTAAAGTCGTATTCTCAAATAAAAAGGTATAACTACGTTGTGTACGCTATTTGTTATTTTCTATGTGTAAAACACCAGGGGGCTTTGGTGTAAGTAAGCTTTTCGGTTTTGTCTATTAGCTTTAGTATGGAGGACATCTTACCCATTCCTACCGCAATTCCTAAAGTCGTAACATACTTGGGACAGTCAGCTAGGGCAATCGTCAACAACAAACCGTTAGTTACGAGAATTAACGATCCTATTATTTCTGCGCACACGGCTCTCCAGAACTGAAGTGTTTTAATGTCTTTTATTTCACTTCGGAAGTGATCTAAGACTCTCTCCTTCCAGATTCCCATCGCGTTCGTTGTGGTCAAGACGTTGAGCTTGTTGACAAGAGATTGGAAGAATGCCGTACACTTGTCTGTGCTGTTGGAACTGAACACCCGCTGAGCAAGCGAGGGATTTTATACGCGCACGCCCACTGATATATCTTTTATAGGAGCAGTGGTGGAGGAGGCGGAGTCTACGGTAGTTGGTTGTGAGCACTTTGACATTCTTTTACAAAATAAATTTTATGATGCAAATTTAAGTTTTAAGTAGCCCCAGAATTCCTCGTGAATGGAAAGACCCCCCACCCCCAGGCCCAACGCAGCTCATGAATGCCTGTTGTTCGTAAAAAGACCACTGGGTTTGTGTCAGGTATGTTCCTTATAAAATTACAATTTAAAGAAAGATAACACGCACCTTTTACCGAAGTCACGTGCGAGGTCTTTGGCACCCTTGTATCTCATCGATAAAACGAAAGACAGCTTCCAGTATGAAAAACTTTCGACAAAAAAAATGGAGATTTATTTAAGAACGACATGCTAATGCGGCATATTAGTGTTAGGTATATCACGTTTTATTCTGACAGTTTTTAAGAATGCATCTTAGCTAAAAGCTACGTGTATCCTTGCACCATAGTCCAATGAAACGTGTCCGTGGGTTTTATTTGAGCGATTTCTGAAAGATGGAATCTGCATGGTCATGTCGCTTTGAAAAAATTCCTGCACTGTTTGGATCTCAAAAGTACCTTTACTTGAATAAAAAATAAAAAGAAGCGACGTGCCATGTAATGTTGTTTTTGGCTTTCGCGACATGCATTTTTCTTATTAAACATGGTGTCCTTGAATAAAAACGGTCGTGCCACAAGCACAGATTAAGTAGAAGAAAGATCAAATGATTTGTATGTAAGAATGGAGATAATGGAAAGAATGGAATGTGTAAAGGAATAAGAAAATGATAAGGGTCATTAAAGCTATGCCCCCCTTAACTGCCAATTGTAAATGCAAATTAAATATGTTCAACATGTCCCGAATAGGCAAAAGTAACCTTGCATTATCGATTGCCAAACAAGTATCACAAAGTGCAGGGATGTCAAAGAGGCCTGAAATGATCCGTCTGCATGTACCGGTAGCAAAGGTGATCCCTCGACACCCTACTGCGTTTTCATAATCTCAAGACTAACTAACTTGTCTTTACTACAAGTATTTCTGAGTGCCATTGATAAAAAACACCAATAGGCGGTCCGCTTTCATATGGGTGCAGTAAAACATCATTATCATTAGCTTAAACATAAAAGATGATTCTCCGCGAACGTAACGTGCCTTACTTAAAAAGGATGTCATTACCAACGGTGCCGACATGTGCGTAAAACTATGAAAATGACGTTGGGTTTGAAAATTGTTCAATACCTTTTTACTTTTAGAGCCATTGTGTTAGATGGATTTAAAATGCAATTTGGCTTTGACCTAGGGCCCCATTCCTACAGCTATGCCATGTGAGCACAATCCAAGCACAATCCATTGTCGAGTATTGCAGTGTGAGCAATCAAAAAATAAAAAATAAATAAAATAATAATAAGAAGAAGGATTATTTTGAATTATAGACTACATCTTAAATGTTTCTAGTAAAACATTCTGTACTAATGTCTTGTTCCAAAATATAGAGTATGTGCTATTTAAAAGAGAAAATTAAGACAAAGCCCATAAAATTACTTTTTTTACTCAGTTAAGAAGCTGAACTATTTACAGCTTTCGGTACAGGTATAATGGTTATGGAGGCTTTTCCAAGAAAACGAGGCTTGGGATGATCTACCGTAAGTATTATAAAGAAACAGTCTAAACAGACCCGATCAATGTCTTTTTAGGTGTGATATAGCTGCTATCTTTTCAATTATGTAAAATAACGCACTCGCTGAAGAAAGGTGTAGAATAAAATGGATTTTTAAAAATTCATTTTATTAATATTGTAACGCGACGCGGCCGTCCGCCTCGAGTCGGCGACGACACCCCGACGCGGTGTGGGATTGATGTTGCCTGTACCTTGGGGAAAGTCTATCCCCAACCTTCGGAAATAAAAAGACATGTATTACATTTCCAATATGATTATTAAATCTCCAAACATTGAATACAAAAATTCATGCAATATAAACGTGACTTATGGCCACAATAGTTCATGCATTTCCAAGTATCCTTTAACGTGACTTATGGTCATTAAAGTTCATAAATTTCAAATGTTGCGCGCGACGACAGCATCTGGGTAGTAAAACGAAGACAACGAAGACAGCTCTGGTAGCGTCGTAGCTCGCGTAGTCTTCTTATGGGTAGCGCAGCGGTTCCCGTAGATCGCGTATCTTCTCATATGAATTATCGTACGTAGTCAGCTTATGGTAGCGTCGTGGCTCGCGTAGTGTCACTCATCTCCGTGGTGCTGTCCGTTCTGTAATTCTCTCTTCAAGATGTTGTCCTCATGGTAGGGAGTTCATACCGCATCGCACGGCCGCAGGCGCTAGGGGAATCCAAGTCAGCTCTCGGTGTGCACCCTCTCCCGACAGCCCGATTCCAGCTTCACCAGCTCTGATGTGGATGCGGCGATACTCTCTACCAGAAATACGCTAGGGTGCGGGTCAAATGATACCAACTCAATACTGACAATCTTTCCGGTCACCAGTGACGAGGGCGCGGGGGATCGACGCGGCCTTCAAACCAATCAGTGGAGATTTTGGCGGCGATGAAACCCTTTGACTCGGGACCAGTGTTCGTTGGCACCGAAAGAGCAAGGTTAATCTTCGCATATCACAAGCCAACATTTTCCACTCCCTGGGCACCGTCTGTTCCGTGTGAAATCTCCGAACTCGCATGGGCGGGGACGGGGGGTTCGCAGGGAAGCACCGTAAGGGATCAGCCCGCTACGGCCTTACGTCCCGTGGCAGGGGTTGGACAATCTTCACCACGTCTCCGTTTCTAAGGTCACAGTCGGCTGGCATCCACTCGACTCCTCCGGATGGACACACTGAACTAAAGAAACAAAAGCAAAATCTGCCCCTTCACACGGGGTAACTCGACTCCCTTCACACGGGAGTAACACTCTTGGGCTGGAACTCGGCATTAGACCCAAGTGGACGTCCGCTCTACTATGGCGCCCCGGACCCGGCCGGCTTTTCACCCGGGGTCGTCATCCACAATAATTGCAACATCCTTGGCACAGCTCTACCAAGGGGTCCCAGACCGTTATGCTGCATAAGCCCATGGCCCGGAAGACACTGAAGAGGTTCCGCCCAGCCAACTGTTAACTCAGAGAAACTCAAATCACGTTGATTAGTAATCTTACCGGAGAGTAACTCTCCCATTATGCACTGTGCTAGACACTGGTTATTTAACTATCAAAGTTATTTCCTACAATGGTCTTACATCTTAGCATTGTCTACACTAGCTAGTGAAATTTAAAGAGGTCCCTAACTCCCTCTGAAAGACTCACTATGCCGACCTTGTCTGTCCATAGCCAAACATAGCTCGCCGGCGTGTATAACATTATTTTCTTAAATCTGCCCTCCCATTCACAGACTAAAACTTTAGATAAATGCAGTTAAATCTCTCCCCAATTGACTAGCGTAACAACTTATCATGCGTACAGTAAAATCCTCCCCCCATATACTAGGGTAACACTGAACACTGATTCCATTAGCAGATAACTCAAAACAAGGACCTAGCGTTAAGTTACGCTGTAGTTAAACTAAGCTTAATTATAAGTGATAAATATGACCCTACGACGTTATCCCTAAAACAACCAACATGCCTTAACTATGACTGAAATGACGTGGTCATTAGATGACAACATGGAATGACTGACGTTGTCTCTGACGACAACAAGACGCTGTCCCTAAAAGATTACTTAACTTAACTATGACTGAAATGACGTGGTCATTAGATGACAACATGGAACGACTGACGTTGTCATTGACGACAACATGACGTTGTCCCTAAAAGACAACATAACTTAACTATGACTGGAATGACGTGGTCACTAGATGACAACATGGAATGACTGACGTTGTCATTGACGACAACATGACGTTGTCCCTAAAAGACAACCAAACTGAACTATGACTGGAATGACGTGGTCATTAGATGACAACATAGAATGACTGACGTTGTCTCTGACGACAACATGACGTTGTCCCTAAAAGACAACATAACTATGACTGGAATGACGTGGTCATTAGATGACAACATGGAATGACTGACGTTGTCATTGACGACAACATGACGTTGTCCCTAAAAGACAACCAAACTTAACTATGACTGGAATGACGTGGTCATTAGGTGACAACATGGAATGACTGACGTTGTCTCTGACGACAACATGACGTTGTCCCTAAAAGACAACCAAACTTAACTATGACTGGAATGACGTGGTCACTAGATGACAACCTAGAATAATTGACGTTGTCTCCGAGGACAACGTGACTTAACTACGACTGGAATGACGTGGTCATTTTATGACAACATGGAATGGTTAGAAAGGAAAATAAGCGAAAATGAAATAATAAATAAAAACTGCCCTACGCTTAGCCTTAACTACTCACTGCTGTTAAGGAATTGGAAAATGGTTGTGGGTTATTAAAGCTGTACTTCTGTTAACTGCCAATTGTAAATGCAAATTAAATATGTTCAACATGTCCCGAATAGTTAATAGTAACCTTGCATTATCGATTGCCAAAAAAGTATCATAAAGTGCAGGAATTTCAAAGAGGCTTGAAAGGATCCGTGAACGAGTTGTTTCTACCAAAGGTGATCCCTCGACACCCTTCTTTTTCTTAATATCAAAACTCACTAAATTGCCTTTACTACAAGTATTTCTGAGTGTAATTGATAAAAAAATACCAAGAGATGGCCTGCTTTCATATGGGTGCAGTAAAACATCATTATCATTAGCTTAAATATAAAGGGTGATTTCCGCGTAGGTAGCACTTCACGTAACGTGCCTTACATGAAAATGATGTCATCACCAACGGTGCCAACATGTGCGTAATGCTATGAAAATTACGTTGGGTTTGAAAATTGTTCAATTTATTTTTTGTTTTAGAGGCTTCGTGCAAGATAGATTAAAAATGTAATTTGGCCTTGACGCAGGGTTCAGTGTTACAGCTATGCCATATGAGAGCGCATCCAAACACAATCCCTTCTCGGGTATTGCAGTATGAGCAAAAAAAAAGTAAACAATTATTTTGATTTATACATTTTGAATATTCCTAGCAAAACATTCCGTACTAATGTTTTGTTTTCAAATAAAGAGTGTGTGTGCTTTTTAAAGGAGAAAATTAAAACAAATGCCTATAAATTACTTTTTTTCATTCAGTTAAACTATTTGACATCTTTAAAGCCAAATTTATTGCTTTGAATATGAGTGTTGAGAAGCCCTAGGTGGGAGATGTTTGTGTACAATGACCAATGACTTTTTCATGCTAAATTGACAAAAACTGTTTTAGATTTGTTTTAAAACGAAATTTTGAAATATACAGAATCTGGGGCGTCTTATTACAAAGTACTGATGGCGGCTCCACTGTACACCCTGCGAACGTTCATCATCACCATGTCGGCTAATATTGAAATCGGTACAGGTACAATGGTTATGGAGGACTTTCCATGAATGCGAAGCTTGGGATTATCTACTAGTAGAGGTATATAGAAACAGTTTAAAGGATTATACGTATTGGTTTATTTTCGTTTCTTAATATTGTTGCTCTCCTTTTATTTGAAATAATGTACTCACTGAAGAGGGCTGTACATAGAATGTAAACTTATTTCAATACTATTTTTAATTCGCTTTAAATATATACTGTAAAATAATATTTAGATATAACTCCCTAAAAAATGAAAGATTGAATATTTCTTTCTGGTGGTAATACATAACTATATTACTGATATAAGTTATTTATGAATGAAACAAAACTTAAATACGTCATAAATTAATTTATCAATGTACCATTGTGAAATGTACCATTGTACTATTGTGAAATTTAATCAGAATTTAGCTCAATCTAATATAGAGTGTAATCAAGATGTTTTAATACTGTTGCTGTCTGTTTCTCGAAGATATTACACGTTAAGGTCTTAAGGTAAAGGACACCTGCGGTTTTAAACCGAGGTCAAAGGTGACTCCATGTCAGTCGTGTTCTTGTTGGACAGTTGAAAGACTTCTGACAGCTTGTCTTTGGCGGTCCACTGGGTCACATTGAAGTTAACTGTTCTTCTCCATTCTCGTCAATTGCTGTTGTTGGATTCTGTATTTGCATCAATCATTTTTTTCAGATAATTCTAATATTACTATTAAAATATGTTACCTTCCTAAGTTCTTATACAATTATATACTGTAGTATTGAGTATTTACTGCATTACATGATTCAAGACTGAAATTTCCATTTTTCTGGAAAAGAGGTATCTATAATAATGAAAGCAACGATGAATTATTTTAATGATACTGACCGTGAGGACAATGCTTAACGATGATATTTGGCTATGCAAAGTCTTGCACTTGCTGCACGCTGAAACAAAAAATAACAAAGTTTAAAAGTTTTTATTGCCTACCAAATGTACCATCTAGATCGTTTTTTAGTACATCCTAACCAAAACTCACGCAAGACGAACAGGATGATATCAGTCGAGATATCTTTATATGTTAAAAAGACGTGCAGGTACCTATCTCTACATTGAAGGTGGACTTCGAGGAGATTACTGAGTCTTCAAAAATTACACAAATAACAAATACTTACCATGTTGACTGATAAACTCGTCTGCAACCCAGTTTCCGTGATGATGTTCTTTATTTGATCCCACATCTTCTCCTAAAACCCCATTGTCTTTTCTCTCTATTGGCGTTCCTCCCTGTCTGACTATATAGTGGTAAATAAACGTGGCTAAACATGCGCCAGTAATAGGGCCGACCCAGTACAGCTGTGGAGAAAATAAGTCAGAAAAGCGTGTCAATTACTGTATATTCTTGTCATGATTCGACTTAATTCATGTTTATTTGGTTAATTTGTATGTGACGGAGTCTCTTTTTAATCTTAGCATACACAAATAATAACCACCAAGAATAGCTCTGGAATTGTCTATTTTCTTTTTATTCTATTTGTTTATTTATTTGTTATTTAATATTATTGTTAATTTGTATTATACGTAGCATACTCACCCAACTATGTTCCCACTTGCCAGCTATGAAGGAACGCCCAAATGATATACATGGGTTCAACATCGTACCAGATAAATCTCCCTAAAATATGAAAGGTAATCATTCTTGACATTAATAATTGATTTCTGAATATGAAAGAGGAGAATTTACCCGGAATGAACTGTATTATCATTATTATTTAAGACGTAATCAACTATGTATCCGAATACAAAGGGCTTTAATCTATTGTGATGAACAAACACATGACTGTCAAAAATACACCCAACTGCATCTTCTAATCAAAATCAGTTTTGTTAATTACAGCTCCTCATATATAACAGCTTTTCAATACAAAATATTCTTCCAGACTGCCAAACCCTCCATCCGTTTGACAATTACATAAACATTCAGAAAGGTTCATTCAATACATCAAGGTAACATAAGAACATAAGAACATACTGAACATGTCCATCCCATATACATTTTGACGTGACAGTACCACGATAGTCAAGGTTGTTCATTAAGGGGACACTGAAACTAAGAGACCATTCCCACAGATATTTAGATCGGTCTATCCCCCTGGGAGTCTCACGAGATTGCTGTCAGCTTAACCGGCTTAAATGTCTGTCCCGCCTATTACTAGCTGTGAGTGGTAATTAACTTTTGTGCGCGCTCGGCTCCCGGAAGCTGACAGCAATTTAGCGTGAACCCCCAGGGAGTTAGGTCGATCCAGCTGGATCGTTCTAAATCTGACAGTTTTCGTAGATCGATCCAACTCCGCAGGAACTCTTGCTGTATGCAATCAGATTAAGAGATAAACATACCTCCTCCTTGCGTTGAGTAGAATACAGTAAAACTGATAATTATACGAGTTCTTTAAAAAAAACAAAAAAGGGGGAGGCATGTTAATCTGTTATTCAAATTGCATTCAGCGCTAGTCCCCACGAAGTTGGGTCGATCTACGTAGACTGACAGTTTCATTGGGAATGAGCCCTAGACTGATCAACTTACCCCGGTAACGATGGCTATTGTCACCGACAGTCCGATGGGCAGTCCCCAGGATGGGTCATATGGGTGATAGTGGGTATCAATAGACCCCAGAGCAATGAAAACCACGAAAAATGTGTTAAACACTTCAATTCCAAAAGCTTGTGCCAGAGTCACTTCATGGTGATGCTGTACGTAGCCGCTGATCTGACGACCGGGTGGAACAAACCTGTATGAAAGAAGAAATTAAAGGAAAGAATGAAATCTTGCTGCATTGCGTCACCGTCCTTGCGCGAGTGATCTTGTCTTCACTCACACATAATAGTTAAATGTAAAATCCCTTTGCCATTTAATACTTGATCATGCCGAGGAAAGCAAACATTTCAGCATTCATCTCTGTGTATAAATGTCAGGCCTAACCAACTACCAGACTCGGCACCTAAGGATCCTGAATTAACCGGTATATCGGACCACACTACCCGTTTTCAAGGTGTGTGTCAGATCGCATTTCGGAGTATCAGCCAGAACACCGACAGGATAAGCCCTGGCATGCTCGGCTGTCACCTTGATTGGATAGTAAACGATTGTCGTAAAATCGCTATATGATTTTAAAACCGGGTGCATAAATTTGAAAGCCACCTAGATGCACCTTAGACTGCCACATTAATCTAATACAATGCAAAAAAAGCCCTATCAAAAGTGGTTAAAACATTCAAACCGAATGTCGTAAAGTCCCCATATATCCCCATAGAGACAATAAAATGGAGTACTCTAAAGTAAGAGTACAGTTTAAGGTTGTTCAGCCGAGCGTGGATGAGCCCGCAGTCGTGCTACAAAATTTTTTCTGGGGTATGATACTCCGAAATGCGATCTGACACACACCTTGAAAACGGGTAGCGTGGTCCGATATACCGGTTAATTCAGGATCCTTAGGTGCCGAGTCTGGTAGTTGGGTAGGCCTGAATGTCTCTAAAATAGGGGAAATTACTGGAAACAACTACTTAAGACACTGTTAGTTAAATTTTTTTAAATTGCGTTTACTCTACTGTGAAATTTTCATTGACGCTTCCCTTACGCTTCAGGCAACCATGCTCCCAAAACTGCTCCGGTACACTGGGCAACGACATATATCAGCGCTACAAATTAAAAAGGCACTTACACTGGGTTTCATTTCTAAATAGCAAGATACAGATACCAATTTGCAATATAACGATTTTAAAATTACGATGGATAGTTTACTTTTTTCTCCAAACAAAACATTATCAGAAGTACCAACTGTGAATAAAGGAATTTAGGCATCTTTTGTCGTGAAAATAAACTGATGATCAATAAATACAATGTAAATAGAAAAAACGAGGATGGTTCCTTGAATTTGTGACACAATGTTAACCGGTGTTAATGGCCCAGTAGTTTAGGATAGCGGCAGGTGCTTTTGTCATGTTACCTTTCAGAGGCGTGAACTGCTTAGAAATGAGGAGTGCCAGACTCACTGCAGGGTTGATGTGCGCCCCGCTGACGTGACCAATAGCAGCATCAATACAGTACAAGCAGAAGCCTGGAAAAGCAATTCCTATAATATGCCATGTTTTAAGGAACTAAGGTTGAACATTTGATGCTTTGAATTCCAGCTCTGCTCTGCATCTGTCAGATATGTTGCTCACAATTTTATTATACTTGCTGACTTAAACGATCATTGGAACAATAACCCTTTAAACATTTTCAGAACAAGAATTTTTAGGTGTGACATGTTTATAAGAAACTAAAGCTGAACATATGAAGCTTTGAATTTCAATTTACACTGCTCTGCCTCTGTCCGGCATGTGGCAGATACATGTAGCATAGTTGTACACAATTTTATTTAACTTGCTGGCTTAAACATTCAGTTACACTTTTAACCTTTTTTAAAACAAGAATTCATTGGCCGTAGCTCACATAATTGTCATTTAATTAAAAGATGTAAACAATCTAAAGCAGCTTATATGAATATTTTTAATAATGATTTTATTCAATAGGACAATTTTGCTTGGCAAATGCACGTTTTCATGAACTGCGTCAACCAAATCCGGCATAGTGTAGGCAATAACAGATGTGGCTGCAGCTGGGATTTTAAAACGTGTAACGTGCACCATTTGATAGTTTTACCAAATTATAAGTTACAATAATAAGTTCTTCCAACCACAGCTAAATATGGTGGCCCCTATTGGATATTTAGACTTTTCGAGTTTTTGACTTTTCGAGTGTTCGAGCTTTTGACTTTTCGAGTTTTCGACTTTTTTACCAGTCATATGGCAACTGGGAAGATATTGCAACAAATGAAACAAAGCTAATTATAACAAGGCAGCAAAGCTGTCAAATGTACAGACAAAAACCAGAAAATAAAAACGCAGGAAATAGGATACTGTCAATTCTGATGCACTAATGTATTATGCTTACTGTAACTGCATAGCCAACATCAAATTCCAATTCTGCATCACATTGGATTAGGATGAAAGTAAAATGTGTAACAAGCATTAGACTGAGTTCCCATACCCAGATCAATCTAACAGGATCAATCCAACTCCAAGGGGTTTCTCACTAAATTAGGCATGACAGACAGCTAAGCCACTTACATTGATTGCAATTTAGCGAGAATTCCCTTGGAGATAGATCAATCCACAGATAGCCTGATAGGGTCTGGAAATAGTCCCTAAGGTTTCAGGCTGATAAGAGTTAAACTTTGGAAATGCCAGAATGAGATAAAGTGAAAATTTCACAAAACAAAAAAAAAATTGCTTTAACTTAATAAATATATATATATATATATATATATATTTGGGCTGTATGTCAATCCTAAGAATCATTCTTGTAACTTAACAAAATACAGAAAATGTTACAAAGTAGGAGTACAGGGCTCCTGGCAGATGGGAGTGATAAGTCACATCTTGAAAATACCAGTTTCAAAAATTAAAGAAAAAATTACAAAAATTTTCCACTAAAGCTGCCATTCAGTCTAGCTGCATAACCATGATATGAATCATCCAACTTGAGTTTAAACAGTATAAACAACTCACAGAAATATATTTTGTTTTACCACAAAAAGGGCAGTCATAGGTATTATTCTGATATCTGAACTTGTCATCAGACCATGTGACCTCCATAGATGGCTATACTTTGTAATAATTTCTTAAGAGATTATAACAAAAAAAAACTTTTTCGAAAAAAAAAAAGTAATTATTTGCCAAAAAGAACAGTTATTATCACTTTAACTGCAAAGTCAAGTTGCAAATATTGCACAACAGGTAGTATCAATAAAAGTGAACTGTTACATGCCCTTGGGAGTTATAAGTCCCACACTGAAAATGCCAGGATGTGAAAGATAAAAATTTCACAAAATTTACAACAGAATAACATGGTCAATAAGATTAGTTTCAGGACCATATGTGAGAGTTCAAATTCACATAATGAAAATTCCAATATGTGAAAAAAGATGACAGTGCATAAAATAATATAAGTACACAATGTTTATAAAGACATAAAAACCAACACAACTCCTAATGTGGAGAAACAGAAAATACACAGTGCTTCTGGTGGATGGGAGTTGAAAGTGATATCTTGAAGATGCTAGTGTTTGAAAAATAATTAAAAGAAAATGTAAATTAAAACATAACAAAAAATTCCAATAAAGCTGCTATTCAAACTTTTAATCTAGATGTGTAATTACTCACATGACTAACATTTACCTGCATAATAATCATCGATTCCTAATTATGTGACACAGTTAAGAGAGATAAAGCCAGGGGACTGTGTTTTATGTAATCTCATTTAATGGCCACTTGAAAATTAATTAAGCAAATTACTTTATAACCCTTAAATAACTTGAAAATTAATTAAGCAAATTACTTTATGACCCTGAATTAATATACTTCCCGCTATCCATATACATTTATTGCACCATATAGCACTCTATAAACCTGCATTGCTTCCAAAACAGAAAACAATCACACTGGTTTTCCAACACAAGCTGCACTTCAGTCTTATGAAACTTTTCAGTAAGTTTCAGTATCATAAGTAACATGGTTTTCCCTTAATCGCTATTCTGGCAGCAGTGTCCAAAATAGGGTTTTCTTCAACTTTCATGCAATATAACATAATACTTAATAGCATAATGACCATCAATTTTTTATAAAAAAAAAAAAAAAGTATCATGAATATTAAGAAAATGTGATGTGGGAAGGTCTTCAAGGCCATGGAAGTTCAGAGTCACACTTTCAAAATGCCAAAATGTAAACAAGAGATAACTGTACTGAAATGATTTTCTTTCCATTTTCAACACCTTTTTTAAAACAAAATAATCAATAATCAATAATAATCAATAAAATAATCAATAAACTGTCATTTTTAAATGATCAACTAGGAAAATTGTTGACATAGGAAAAATATCAATAGAACAATTTTCAATGTCCAATTTGCTCCATTTGCAGATTCTGAACATAGTGAATGATTGAATCTGACAAACTGCAATGATGAGTTCCTTTCCATTTATGATACTTTATTACACAATGTACCATAACAGGTTTACCGTCATTTTTATATAATCAACTAACAATATTGTTAAGAAGCAGAAAATGTCAAAACAACACTTTTACAAATCTAATTAGTTCCATAATGAGACTGTTAACATGCCTAAGAATTTAATCTGAAGAAATAACACTTATATACAAAAAGGCTAATAACTTCATCAAAACTTAATTGATCAAGCTTATTTTCAAATTGGGTCTGTAAACTAGTCAGACTAATCACTCCTGTGAGTTGCAAGACAAAAGGCTGATTGGTTTTCCTTAAAATGTGTTATCAGTGTTGCATATATGCTGAATAAGGGAAAAAACAGCATAACTTTTGTAAAAATAGTCCAATCAAGCCAATTTTAAAACTTGACCTGCGTATTATGAATATTCATCAGTTCTGTAAGTTTCAGTCCAAAAGGAAAAACATTTTTACACTTATCTTGTTATTCGTGTTATAAAAATGCTGAAAATTTTGGAAAAAAAATGAATTATTTCCATAAAAATTGCCCAATCATGCTGATTTTCAAACTTGACCTGCGTATTATGAATATTCATCAGTTTTGTAAGTTTCAATCCAAAAGGTAAAATGGTTTTCCACCTATTGTGTTATCAGTGCTGCATATATGCTGAAAAAAGTGAAAAAACATCATAACTTCCCTAAAAATGGCCCGATCATGTTGATTTTCGAACTTGACCTGCGTATTATGAATATTAATCACTTCTGTAAGTTTCAAGCCAAAAGGTAAAACGATATTTCACTTCTTGTGTTATCAGTGTTGCATATATGCTGAAAAAAGTGAAAAAACAGCATAACTTCCCTAAAAATGACCTGATCATTCTGATTTTCGAACTTGACCTGCGGATTATGAATATTAATCAGTTCTGTAAGTTTCAAGCCAAATAGTAAAATGGTTTTCCACTTATCGTGTTATCGGTGCTGCATATATGCTGAAAAAGTAAAAAAAAACAGCATAACTTCCCTACAAATGACCCGATCATGCTGATTTTCGAACTTGACCTGCGTATTATGAATATTCATCAATTCTGTTATTTTCAAGCTGAAAGAAAAAGCGGTTTTCCACTTATCATGTTATCGGTAAAAGTGCACGGTGACGGCGACGACAGACGCAGGTGATGGCTATATGTACAGACACATCTGTGTCTGTACATAAAAATTATTACACACAAAGTCATATTTGAATGTTTCAAAGGTTTTATATTCCAAAGCAACTTTCCTCATTAAAATTACTTTCTTAATCATCCACCTTTACATATATATGCAATTTCTGTACTACTGTATTTCATACCTTGGCTGTCAGACCATAGCAGAATCCATAGTTTATACAAGGTATGTGGGCAGTCAGCTGTTAAGGTGTTGTTATGGTTAAGACTTAATTAAGAGTTTTATAAAAGTTATTGAAGACCTCTCACTTCCTGTCTCTTTTCATTTACTGAAAAATATAAATAGCACATTAGTAATCTGTCTTATCTAAATAAAATACAACCGATTAAACACCTGAAATAATAAAATCTTCATTTTACTCCAACAATTAAGAAGGTTCTATAGATAGTGTGTAACTCTACCCTTGACAAATCATAGCATTCGTTGAAAAATTGAGAAGTTCAGATCATGATGAAAAGCAGGTCAAAGGTCAACTTCAAGGTCTCAGTGAGATTGCCAGAATATGACCCCCTATACAAGTTCAAAGGTAACTATGGGCGTATCTCTGCCAGTTTTCGAGATATAAGGGATAGAAAATTTGCAAAGTTCAGTTCAAAAATATATTTTCATGTAGGATTTGTGTCTTTATTATAAAGAATAAAACTGTAAGGCACTCTTAGTTTTGCTGTACCACTCATTGAGAAAATTACATTTAAAAAAATATGAATTAAAAATACAGTATGTGTAAAATTCACAATTGTCTGTGATTTTTCATTGAAAAGTCCATTTGATTTTTATAAAATGTCGTTCATTTTTTAAAGAAATTTCTACTTGCCCCATTAAGAACAT